TTTTCTGACTAGACAATACCTGTCACTAAGCGCGTACCTTTCAAATCACGACATATGGCCGAGAACGAGGCTAGAGTACAACAGGCTCACGGATACGCGCCTCACCTGAGTGCGCTTGCAATGTCGACAGTAATAACCTCGGGTCTAAAGATTGTATCCCATTGTTGTGGACACTAGCAGTCACGCCCACAGACTAAAAAACCTGCATGGAATTTGTCACATCTTCTTTGCCTCAGTCCACTGCATTACCAAATAAGTTGTATTTACTCTTGCAAAGACCATCTTGCAGCACACAGCTTGCCTCAGGCATAATGACAACTGAATCATGGATGAATTGACCTGGGCAGGTCTACTTAATAAACCCGAAAACACAGTTAAGTTAATCGAAGGCCATTGGTAAGTGCACCTTCATTTCATCACAATTTCCGTGAAATAAAATGAACTTAGACAATAGTAAGGAAACAGGCCTTCAAAACTGCAAGGCTACTCTCGGCTTCGCGCTAAATTTATCCAACTGGAGGTGAGTTCAGGCTGGTCTAGTTAATTAAGCCTGAAACAAATAATATCACCGAATGCTAATGGCTAGTCCATGCTGTCCTTAAAAAATCTTCTTTAACATAAACTAAGCTTAGCCAATATTAACGAAAAGAGCCAACAATAAATCGAAGGGGAGCCCTAGGTTGCCGCAAAATTTTATCCAAGGAGAGATAAACCCAGTCTGATCTGGTCAATTAAACCGGAAACAGAGTAAATGTTCTGCCATGCAAATGGTAAGTCCACTTTATCCTTGAAAATATTTTTTTAAGATGATCAAACCTTAGCCAACATTAATGGAATGAACCATCAATCAATAGAAGGCCAGGATGAAGGAGGATAATTTAGGCTGTGAAATTTCTTGTTCGAACTTGTTTGTTTATTTGTATGGGGATGGAACGCACCCGTACCACATTTGTCTGACCTGAGAATGTCAAATGGCATATCGCACGTTGGTAGCATGGAAGGTGACTCTTCTTCCTGCGAGTAATTTCTGGAATGGAATGTAAGCTAAACTCAAATTGAACTCTTAAACGACGATGTAGACGCTGTCTTGCCATTTCACTGCAGACCTCAGAATGCACTTAGCATTTGCACTACAAGCAAATTGGAAGTTGATGTCTCTTTATCCGTGTCACGGCTTCGTGTATTGTGGGCACGCAGGTACATGCTGGACTCCTCACATGAATACCTGTCTGCATTAGTACCTAGCGTTCTCATTTGCTTACACTAGTGAAAATATACTACCAACACACCTGTGTCGACAGCAAGAGACACCCAGGCCAAAGCAGATACCTGTCAATTCTACATATACGGAATAAATTTTGCAGAAAACGCAAATAAGACAGCCGAAGCAGTATGTTGTAAATGTGTATTTAAAAATTATGACAGAACTCACACACTCGTGATATTTGCTATCCAATCATCTGAATGTTTTCCACCTGTTCATGCAATCATGTTTCATTCAACTGCATTCTGCTTTATTTTGCTTAGATTTGATTTAATCTAATCGTTTTGCACAGACACGGATTCTGCCCTCAATGCAGCTGGAAGCATGGGTAGACGGGGACTACGAATAACACTATTTTGCCTCCACATTGAGGATGCCATTATTTACCTCGCACATCTCTCTATTCTTCACTTCTTTCCCACACTCCTACTTG